ATTATTTAGGTGTATATGTGGTGACCACATAGATTTTTTTTTTTTTAAAAAAGCAAAAGGTTAGGGTTGGCTTTCTCTATCAATTAAGCCATTGACTATTTTTTTATGGTGATTTGTCTGCAAAATCAATTTGGCAAATTCACTATGCTCATCCCTACTTTTGTTCAGAATCCAAAAGGTCATTCAGAGAACATGTACATTATACAGGGTGTACTTGTTAGAGCCCAACCTCTGTAGCTGTAGGATAAAGGTGTCAGATGGATATCAGGGATGGATGGATGGGAGCAGTAACATTGAGGCAGCTCTTCTTAGAGTGGAAGCAAGGCTCTAATGCAGTAACATGAAAAAGAGAGGAAGGCGCCTCTAAGTACAGCATTGACAATTTATTAGTAAACAACAGATAAATTGCACTTACAAGATACATAGTTAAAAAGACTCATCGTGTGATGTAATAAGATCCAGGTGGGACATCCAGCCATCCAGCAGCAAACTCTGTCGATAGGATCAGGAAGTAGAGCCCAAGATGTGTTAATAAGACTCATTGTGTGGTGTAATAAGATCCACTTGGGACATCCAGCCATCCAGCAACAAACTCTGTCTATAGGATCAGGAGGTAGAGCCCAGGATGTGCCTGTGCATCAAAATGAGACTTGGAGAGCATAGTCGGATGTAGGAGGTGAAGGGGGCAGTAACGTGTTTCAGAGCATGCTCAGTAGGCTCCTTCTTCAGACCTGAGCCCCAATAGAACCTTGACATTTTTATAGTGTGAAGGGAATGGGAGGGAGGCAAGTAGTTCCTGGGTCCTAAGGACCTACATGTTTCCTGCATCGTACAGGAATTAATACAGGTATAAAAAACAGAAATAAAAACACACGAGAGAATAGCGCTAATGCTTTTGGGTTAAAAAGTATACGAGTGTGTATGTATACATATAATAACATATATCTAAAAAAAATAGCATATTCGATAGAAGGGAAATAGAAAATGGCAATTAAATTAATTCTAAAAATATATTACAATAGAACAATGGAGGTGAAGATAAAGGTTAATAATAATGAATAAATCAATGAGATAATGAAAAAGGTAGATTATTGTACCATAAATAAAAATGTAATAAAAATAAATAAAAAAACTAAATTAAAAACAATGTTAGAAAAGCGCATTTTAATAAATGGGCTTGCTATAATAGTATGTGAATTTTGTGTATCTCCTTATTATCGCTTTGTGATGTACTAAAAGGGATCATAGTTAAATGAGTGAGGGATAAGGAAGGGATATATCTAAATTTGTTGGAGGAAAGGACTACTAGTGATAAAGTACAAACAGCTGTATAAGGATATTGTGTTGATATTTATAACCACCATTTGGAAGGAAGCGAATGTCTCTATAAAATGGAGCTTATTTCAAGCTCTTCATTTAAGCCACCAGGGGATAACACAAAAATTTTCCCTCTGACAGAGACGCAAAAGCGCTCTGCCAGAGGGAGGTCCCGTGACATTTCTTCAATGATCCACACACTAAGACCATCAGTGGATTTACCGGGGCATTCAAGGAAATGTCTGGGCACGCTATGCTGATCTTTTCCATCCTCTATAAGGCAACGGTGCTCGCCAAAATGTTTACGAAAGGGACATGTGTTTCTACCCACATAGTTCAGACCACAAGGACAAATTAGACAATAGACCATATTCAGAAGAGCATGTGTAAAATTCCTTAATCTGATATGATATCCCTTTGACAGTGAACTCCTTTTGTCCATGATGAATAAACTGGCATGTCTTACATAAGGGTTTTTTTTTGCATTGATACATACCAACAATAGGGGAAAGGGTGAGAGGAATTGTATTCTTTGTCTTAGTTTTAAGTTTGCTAGGTGCTATTTTCCCTTTTAAGCTTTCCTGTATGAAAACTTGGGTTATTGTGGTAAAAGTGATTTGAAGTAAGGGTCTTGGTGTAAGATTGGCCAGTGTTTACATATTGTATATTCCATTTGCTTATGATGACTATGGAACTGAGTGACAAATCTAATCTGTGATGGCATATTGTCAGTAGAATGTTCTGATGTTGTAGGGTATAAAGTGTGTGGGCTTCTTCTACAATATCCAAGGGGTAATCCTTCTCGATAAATGTATTTTTAAGTATTGTACCTTGTGAAATGTAGTCAGATTGCTGGGTGAAGTTATGGCGCAATCAACAAAATTGGCTTTTAGGAATGTTTCTAAGCCAACGTGGGTGGTGGCAACTCTTATAATGTAAAAAAGAGTTTACAGCTATGGGTTTGGTGTAGTTCCTGGCATGGATCTGATTGTTACTGTGATAAATATCAAGATCAAGAAAGGCTAGGTGGTATTTGTCAACTACATGGGTAAATGCCAGACCCATATCATTGATATTACAGTAGGATACAAAATCCTAAATGTCAGTAATGTTTCCATCCCAAATATAATATTGTCAGTGTAACGACCGTAATACACAATGTGATAGATATCGCTCCCTTCACCTCCTACATGCGACTATGCTCTCCAAGCCTCATTTTGATGCACAGGCACATCCTGGGCTCTACTTCCTGATCCTATAGACAGAGTTTGCTGCTGGATGGCTGGATGTCCCAAGTGGATCTTATTACACCACACAATGAGTCTTATTAACTATGTATCTTGTAAGTGCAATTTACCTATGGTTTACTAATTGTCAATACTGCACTTAGAGGCACCTTCCTCTCTTTTTCATTCAGAGAACAGACAGACAAATCAATTTGTATATAACAGATAGTAGGCTAGAGGACTGAATTGGACTGACTGGCAAAGGAAGTGTCATAAGCAGATGTTGAAAAATTGAGACTACCGTATTTTTCGCACCATAAGACGCACTTTTTTCCCCCAAAAAAAGGGGGGAAATGTTAGTGCGTCTTATGGAGCGAATATGGAGCGGCCGGTCCGGTATTTCCACTGCCGCCGTGTCAGAATACCGGGCCGGCCGCTCAGCTCTACAGCGGGACCTTATAGAGATGACTGCTGACCTTTGGGGAGGGGGGGGAGCGGGTACCTGAATTTTGACAGATACCCGCTCCCACTTCCGTGGAGTTGTTCTTTCATCTTACCCGTTCCTCTATCCAGCGGCGCGGTCTTCCCGGCTTCTGTAGTGTGGGCATGACAGCCGGGTGCCAAGTGCGCATGCGCAGGAAGCGGTGCTTTTTGTGAATGGTAAGGCGGCACCTGGGACACATGACAGATCCCAGAAGCCACCGGACCAATCACAAAGCGCAAGTGCTTCTCGCTCATGCGCACTGGGCACCCGGCTGTCATGCCGAGCGCCATTACAGAAGCCGGGAAGACAGCGCGCGGCTGGATAGAGGAACAGGTAAGATGAAAGAACAACTCCGCGGAAGTGGGAGCGGGTACCTGTCAAATTTAGGTACCCGCTCCCCCCCCTCCCCAAAGGTCAGCAGTCATCCCCTGTACTATCCACAGTCTCTGGTCATCCCTGTGCTGTCCGCAGTCTCTGGTCATCCCTGTACTGTCCGCAGTCTCTGGTCATCCCTGTGCTGTCCGCAGTCTCTGGTCATCCCTGTGCTGTCCGCAGTCTCTGGTCATCCCTGTGCTGTCCGCAGTCTCTGGTCATCCCTGTACTGTGTCCGCAGTCTCTGGTCATCCCTGTACTGTGTCCGCAGTCTCTGGTCATCCCTGTACTGTGTCCGCAGTCTGGTCTACTGGTCATCATCCCTGTACTGTGTCCGCAGTCTCTGGTCATCCCCTGCACTGTGTCCGCAGTCTCTGGTCATCTCCTGCGCTGTGTCCGCAGTCTCTGGTCATCTCCTGTACTGTGTCCGCAGTCTCTGGTCATCCCTGTACTGTGTCCGCAGTCTCTGGTCATCTCCTGTACTATGTCTGCAGTCCATTAGTTCAGAATTTTTTTTTCCTGTTTTCTGCCTCTAAACCCTAGGTGCGTCTTATGGTCAGGTGCGTCTTATGGAGCGAAAAATACGGTAAGCAGTGCCTGATATTCACCAAAGCCGCCAATGGTGAGCGTCTCTTGGCTTCAGACCCAAGGATGTGTTCCTGCTGACAGGAGACAGACAGTAAACAGACACAAGCAAAAATATAGGTGGTAAGGCAGGCAAAATAGAGTAGCACAGAATGCACAAAGATAACAAGTCAAGTCAAATATTTTCAATGAGTAAAGAGAGGAAAGGAATATGGAAAGAATAGACACAAATGTAGCTTAATAGGTAAACAGTTATTAACAAATGAGCTAGCTTTTGACCCAATAAGGAAGTATGAATAATAAAGCCTGGCCATAAGATGGGACCAGGCAGAAAGGAATCACATGGTAGCAAGGCTAGGATATAGTAAAATAAAGTAATGTAGTCAATGCCATTGATCTCCCTGTGATTTTATTTCTACACCATACATTTTTGTTCAAAATAAACCCAAACTGTTAATCGTAATGTAGAGACCCTTATATAAGTTATACATATGTTTTTATTTTTACAATTATAGTATAGGAAAGAGTTAAGCTGGCCATAGATTGCTCAAGTCCTGGTCAGTTCAGCAGGGACCAGACTGGATTCAAACCTTCTATGGGCAGGCTGATTGTACCCAAGGTGATTGCTCTACAACTTGGATACAATCAGCATGTTGGATTTATCATGCAATTTTTTCTAGTGGCTATTATAACTCACCCAATGGGGACTGCTTCCCCCCCCCCCACCAGGAGAACACAATAGTTCCATGGGAGGGCTTCCCCCATCATAATGACATGAAAAATCAAATATGCTGGTTGTACCCGTTTTGCAAAACAATCGACTTGGGTATATTCAAACAATTTTCTTTCCTGCAACCATTCACATCATGTATGGCCTCTTTTTTGGAAACAATACTGTTTAAAGCTGACCTTTTAGACTGTATCCAACCTAATGCATGTGTACAAATGTGTCTAATCTTCTAGTGCTAATTTTTTGCTAATTTTTGTTTCTAGCCATTGTTAAAGTGTTACTAAACCCAGGACCCTGCATTCACTGTATATGGTCCCCCACAATACACAGAGCATGGAAATGCAATTATTTTAGTAAATACAAACTGCTAAACACCTATTCTCATCAGCAGTTAGAGCAGTCTTGTGACTTGTGACTTCCATTAGTGTCCAGCTGACCGTTGGTTAGCAGGACTCTCATTGATCCGGGTGGGCATCATATGACGTCCTTCTCGGATCATGCCTTGCCGTGCTCGTGAGGCCTCAATGTGGCGAGATCTGTCACCGGCTGTGTATCTTGGACACAGCCGATTACAGATCTGTGTACTGGCCCGTTGCCAGTACCATGTGATCTGCTGTCATTTGTAAACAATGAATGGCTTCCTTTCATGCTGTCCATTGTATACAATTGTGTCACTAGCTGTGATTGGTCATGTACAGACTGGGCCAATTACAGCCGATCTGTGTCATGTGATTAGCTATGGCAAATCACAGCTAACCACAACAAAAAACCTGAATGCATCAATTTCATTCAGTTAAATACATTGCTATAAACCAGTGCTTCTCAATTATTTTCTGTCATGCCCCCCCTAGGAAGAAGAAAACATTTTGCGCCCCCCCCCCCGCGCGACTGTAAATAGTATTTTTGCAGCAGCACCTCTGCACTGCACACTTACCGGCTTTTCCCTCACTCGATTTTCGCGGGTCTGCTCGGCTCCGCCTCCTCGCCCCCGTGATTGGCCGCCTGTGTACCTTTCCTGAGCTACAGTTCTGGCGGCCAATCACCCGGTGAGGAGGCGGAGCCGAGCGGCAGGAGTGAGGGAGTGGCCGGAGTGACGGAAGGAGCAGCGCTTCCTGGATGGATCATCGTGGGAGCCAGGTAAGAGACAGCAGCCCTCTGTCCACCCCTGTACCTAGTGTCCCTTCTGTCGGAAAGGGGGGACAGCGGCGGCACCGCGCCGCGCCCCCCTTAATGGAGCCTCACTATTTGAGAAGCACTGCTATAAACAATCATAATGTGCAAGAAAATACACATTATGATCACTTCCCTAAAGTAGTACAATGTTGCTATGGTAGCATTATACTACTCTAATTACAGTGTATTATGAAAAAATCTTAAAAAAAAAGTAAAACAATTTAACTAAAAAATTTAAAAATTAAAAAAATATATATTTTTTATTTTTTGTACTGTCACCAGTCAGTGTCAGTGTCCCTGATCACTGCCACACCAGTTATATGATGACGCCGTACTGCACTGGTGACAGCATATTAAAAAAAGTGAATTTTTTTTTAATTTCTTTATTTTCCAAAATATTATGACAAAAAAAATTACAACTTCAAAAAACTCACCATACCTCTTACTAAATACTTCGGACTGTTTACTTTGCAAAAAGGGGTCATATCTGTACTGTCCTGATGTTTTTGGGCCTCAAGAAATTAGATTGGCCATCAGTACTTCAGGACTGATCCATTTTCAGAAATATACCAGTTTGTGAATTCTATAACTTTCCTACAGACTAAATAATAAACTGATTTTTTTCACCAAAGAAATGTAGCAAGATACATCTTGGCCTAAATTTATGAAGAACAAATATTTGAAAAATGTATTAACGTGGTGATACCACCAAAAGAAAGCTATAGTTGTGTGAACAAAATGATAAAAACTTATTTTGGGTGCACATGGTTTGGGACCATGCAATTGTCATTCAAAGTGTGAGAGTGCTAAAAGCTGAAAAATTGGCCTGGGCAGGATGGGGATAAAAGTCTCTGGTATTGAAGTGTCTAAAGCTTGTAAGAAGAGTTTTCATTCTGCTCTCACTGCCCTGTGAGATTGCATAACCACTGACCCTCTGTCTGGACAGTTCTGATTGGCCCTGTACTGGTCACATGCAACCTCCCAAAAAAAGAAAAAAACTCTCTAGCAGTACACACCAAACTGAGCATGTGCCGAGTGTCCCTGTGTTCTGTCAGGGGATGAATGGGGAATGTGGAAGAAGGGGAGAATCAGAGAAGACAGGATCAAACATCCTTTTTATACAATGCAGAGGATTAACCCCTTAAGTTCCACAGTAAGTATAACAAGCATGCTTTACTGCATATACAGACTGATTTTACTGTTGTGGGTTTAGTAACACTTTACGCATACTGCAGTAGTCTGTGTCAGAGGGATTAACAGTTATGAATACTTATCAGTCCAGTCACTCACTGAGTAGGATAGCCCAGTGGTGTGAACTTTGGAGTGATAAATATTCAGGACCAACATCCAAGAAAAATCATTTTTGACTGGTCTTTTTCCCCAAAGGGATTGTGTGCTGGGGGGGTCTCCCTTTAGGGCGATCTTTCATGAAGTCTTTTGTTGTCTTGATTCTGAAACCTAGTTCACCCTTGATAAAAATATTTCAGTTTTTCCACCACTTAGAAGAAGTGTTGTATAACTGCCTAAGGGAGATGTTTATACATGAACATTTCAGATGACTTGCCTTAGGGAGATTACAGTTAAGATACAGAGGAACTTTGTTTACTAAGGAGCTGAATTTATTTGAGGGTCTTAGAGCTAATCAGTGTCCGCAGATACAGTTGAGAACAGCATTACAGAAGCCAATCTTGACTGAGAACAGATTATCTTGTGCTATCCTGTTTGTTTCATCCTCTTTCCCATGACTTTGTAAGTGTTAATAAATGAAACCATACTTCAACCTTTATAAAATGACTGGCACCTAGGTTATTGAATCTGCACCAGCAAATAGCCTGTCCTGAGATAGATGCAGCCTTGGAACAATTAAATGTAAGTAGACTGGAGCAATATTAGTATATCCTATCAGGCCATCTGAGGGTCATTTCCTATGACTCTAAGGTAAATTGTTTTACAGTAATAAAACTGCAGTCCATTGTGTTTAACTGGTGTAATGCCAGATATCTTTACTTTCTAATTGCTTTGCTATACAATAAAATGCAGCTGATCAACTTTGTAATTTCAAAGTAAAGTCAATTCAATAATCTATAATGCAGCTTTTAAAATATTAGATTCAATTAAAATCAGATTAACTCAAACATTTCTATTTATGTGCAAAAATGTAAATCAAGACTGTGTTCCTTATATTTATCCTAGGTATTTATCTTTAGCCGTATATGCCAGTTATCAATGTAAAAGCATTTATCTCTATTGGTTCAACACTGTCAAACAATACTGCAATAACTTGATCTTAGAAATGCATTTTCATTTTATATGAAGAGTTTCTAATATCTAACATAGGTGATAGAACATAGTCAGGAAAAATGTTGCTTAACCACTTCAATAACGGGCACTTATACCCCCTTCCTGCCCAGGCCAAATTTCAGCTTTCACCGCTGTCGCACTTTGAATGACAATTGGTTGGTCATACAACTTTGTACCCATATGAAATTTTTATAATTTTTCTCACACAAATAGAGCTTTCTTTTGGTGGTATTTAATCACCACTTTCATTTTTTTGCTAAATATAAAAAAAACTTTAACCACTTGAGCTCCAGAGGATTTACCCCCCTTAATGACCAGGCCTCTTTTTGCTACTCCGCGCTGCACTAATTCAACTGATCATTGCGCGGGTCATGCAATGCTGCACCCAAACGAAATTTACGTCCTTTTTTTTCACACAAATAGAGCTTTCTTTAGGTGTAATTTTATCACCTGCGCTTTTTATTTTTCGCGCTATAAACAAAACAAGGCCAAATATTTTGAAGAAAAACAATATTTTTTACTTTCAGCTATAAAAAATAAATAGTTAATTCAAAGTTGGTTATAAATTTAGGCCAAAATGTATTCTGCTACATGTTTTTGTTAAAAAAAAATCCCAAAAAGTGTATATTAATTGCTTTGTGTGGAAGTTATAGCGTCTACAAACTATGGTATAAATACTGCAATTTACGCCATTTTTCTGCTATACAGCGCTGCGCTAGTTTAACGGACAATTGTGCGGTCATGCAATATGGTACATAAATGAAATTTACATCCTTTTTTTCCCACAAATTGAGCTTTCTTTTGGTGGTATTTGATCGCCTGTGCGGTTTTAAAAAAAAAGGCTGACAATTTTGAGGGGAAAAAAAAAACAATATTTTGGACTTTTTTCTATAAAACATGTCCAGTAAAAAAAAAATGCAAAAATCAAATTTAGTCAAATTTCTGCCAAAATGCATTCTGCGACATGTCTTTGCTAATAAAAAAACCCCAATGCATGTAAATGAATTGGTTTATGTGAAAGTTCTAGCGTTTACAAATGGCTGGAAAGATACTGGGATTTTTAGGTTTTTTTTTTATACTAATAATGGCGGCGATCAGCGAATTATGGCGGCGATCAGGGACTTATAGCTGCCACCAGCGACTTATGGCGGGACTGCGGCGGACATTCAGAACATTGGGGGATACTGACTTGGGGTCACTGACATCCCCAAAAACACTAATACAGTGATCAGTGCAAAAAAAAAAAAACACTGACACTGTACTAATGGCAATGGGGAGGAAGGGGTTTAACTTTATTTTGCAGGGAAGGGTTATAGGAGTGAGGGGAGTGTTTTACTAGGGGGTGGGGGTGTGTACTGGACGGGACAAGGCTGATCGAGAAAGAGAGAAACTGTTCTTTCTTGATCAGCTCATCCTCGAGCTGACAGGGAAGTGACAGACAGCACAGCTACTGCAGCTGTGCTCTCTGTCACTGTTTGTTTGCCGCCGATCGCCGGGACATAGCCGCTGAGGAGCGGCTGTGACCCGGCGACTGACATCTGCGGCGGTGATCCACGGGACAGATAGGGCAGTAGCGTGCCTCACGCGCGCCCCCTATTTGTTTACAAAACACACGTTTTAAAACGTGGTTTTGCCTGCGAGTGCCGCCCTGCCGCCGTATATGTACAGTGGCTGGGCAGCATGTAGTTAAAAAAAAAAACGCACTTTTCTTCTTCGTTTCTGTTATAAAATTTTGCAAATAAATAAAATTTCTTCATAAATTTAGGTCAAAATGTATTCTGCTACATTTCTTTGGTGAAAATAATAATAATTGAATTTGCATTTTTTTTTCAAATGTCTCTATTTTTTATTTTTTTTTTATTACATTTTTTCTTTTTTTACTATTTTATTTTTCAGCACACTGTTACCAAAGCAATACACTGTTACCATAATAACATTGAACTACTCTGGGCAAGTGAACGGCACCCATGGGACTGTGGGGGCGCACACGCCCCCCGGCCTGCAAAAGCAGTGGGAATGCGAATCACGTATATATACGTGATTTTGCGCACCCCGTGCCACCTGTAGCAGTATTTCTGCTATAGGGCAGTCGGGAAGGGGTTAACGCAAGCAATGTAAGTTAGTACAGCTATCTCCCCCACTGTTCTTTTGTGTTCTGACAAAACACACAGGTCAGTGCTCACAGCCATTGGTAGCTTTTGTCGGACATGGAGCTGTAACAAATGGGCCAAAAGTGATCCAGTTTCTATTATACTGGATGATTTTGACTGATATTTAGCCTGTGTATACTTGGCATTAGTCCTTAATTCTTTATTGTACTGTGTAGATGTATTGAGAAAAAATATTCACTACTGATCATCTATGTACTCTACATTGGAAAGATTTTAGTCTTATCTCCAGCTGATTCTGTTTAGATGGACATATGAATTCTACTCACTGCCTACTTCCTGCAATCTCTTCTTTGATAAGTAGATAGATCTGCATGCTATAGACACATAATTAGTCACAGGGTTAAGTAAGAGACAAAACTGCTGAGAAAATGCAATAAGCCAGTCACATGCACAGCTAATGACATTTCAGGGGTAAAACTATAGACAATGTACAGATTATTATCCTCATTGTTCTTATGCTGGTCTTTGATACAAAAAAGCAATCTGACGTTTTTGAAAATTATAGCTGGGCGCACAATAGAATGCAAAGGTAACTTTAATAATGTCACAAAAATGGCAAATAGGTTGTTCACTTTGAATACAGAGTTGCACTTTGCAAGGGTAATTGCTGCAGAGCTTAGTGAATGTGGTGAAGTTTCATTTTGCAAAGAACACCTATTTTTTCTAAGCAAGGAAAATAAAAAAAAAAACAGCATTTTTGCTTGAACAAGATTGGATGATGACAGTCAGCAGAGCTTCACCTCATCCACCAAGCTCTGAGGACAATTTCCTTGAGAAGTGCAAAGCCCATTTAAATTTAGTGCATGGTCATTACTAACATCCAGGGATGTAGAAAAAAAAGTTCTAATTCTATTTTTTTAAATGTTTTTACCAATATTTGGTCATTAGTACACCATAATTGGCCTAGGCTCCACTAGTAAATAACTTTGTTCTCTTTGCTATTATTGGATGCAGATTAATAAACAAGTATTAAACAGTTAAAAATGATTAATCATTTGAAAAAATATTATAAAATAATTAGATTTAAGTAAAAGTGTACATTTTACAGAAGACATTTCTATTTGCAGTGGTTACAGCCTGCTCTTTGTTTTACAAATAGCATAAGTGAAGAGGGTAATCCTTTATTCTACTAGAATTTCAGTCTTTTTAAGTGTAATAGAAGCTATTTCCTTTAAGTGAAAATGAACACCTTTATTTATGTACAAAAGCCAACTACAGTGTCACTAGTGTTACAATTCCTTTAATAGCAATATTGATCTGGTTAGCAGGATGCATGCAGCTAGACCACTTTACTCTGTCTCTTTTCTGTTTAGTGTAATCTATATCAAGAGTATGAATATACTTATAGCCTTCTTTAATTCTTTTGTTGCATTAGTCACCTTCATCTTTAGTCTACTCTGTATTCCTACATTACAGGATTTTTTTTTATGATATGTAGTGAAAAAGACAATGCATAAATTATAATATTCACATTAAAAAAAGTGTTAAAATACTTACCAGTTCCTGCCCTCTCTGCCATCTATGCACTTCCAGAAAACAGTACATAAATTAATCTT